ACACACACATATATATATATATATATATATATATATATATATATATATATATATATATATATATATATATATATATATATATATATATATATATATATATATATATATATATATATATATATAATATAACTATATATATATAACATGTATATAATATAACTATATATATTCCCTAAAAATATATCTCACGTCCTTATCATAATCAGTGTAGATAAAACAGTCTCGGAACGCCGAAACCTGCATTTTATATGGAGTTGTATTATCGTTGGTATACGTTAACGTTGGCTTCTTTCTTTCTCAGTAAACTCAGTATATTGACTCGGTCAAGTCTAAATAAACAACTTTAATTTATTATAATTATTTGTTTGTGTTATATCTACTTCTTCTCGGCCTATTCAGACCCCTGCTTCAAATAAAAACAACCGCCTAATGCGGTCAGCGTAACTTAGCCTAAAAATGTGCTATTGTAGTCTATGGACGGTATAACATCTGGCAATTGATGGTATATATTCTGGTCCTGCCTGGCAAGTGCAATCAGATCCACGGTTGGGAACCAGTTCTCGTTGCCCAGATTCGACTCCAACATGTCAAGCCAGGCATCCATCTGCACACCAGGGGGTATAACACCAGGCTGAACGTTACTGGTAGTTGGCAGTATCCTGTTATTTGCACCGATGGCCGTATCACTACAGCCGTGTATACCACTGTCCGTCGAAAAGGTCTGGGAGAGCATGCCCCGTGTCTGGACTGAGGGATAGCCCATCGACGAGATACTATTTGCAACTCTCTCCTGTTGGTTGTACTCGGAGGCACAGCTAGACGCGTTGGACGACATGCTCGAGTGTGTCATGAGTGTCGTCTCAAAGGGCAATGCAGTCAGTGCTTCGTCTATTTTAAGATAGTTCAGGTCGAGCACGAACAAGCGCGCAAATTGTAACCGAGCAACCCCGGTGTGGTCGTGCAGATGCGTAAGTACCACAGAACATATCTTGTTGTCTATAATCTGTGTCAACTCCAGCATTTGCGTTCGCCTTGGGGGCCCTGGTTTCCCTTTCATATGCGGCAGTAATTGCTGGTACTGAGCTTCGGTCTTTGTATTGAGCTCTATCAGTGTTTGGCCTACGATCGTGTCACAGAATTTTTTTGTAAAATTACTATCACGTAGGCGACAATTGACCACTCTCGCTTGGTATAGGAACTCCACCGACAAAGGAGAGATGTCCCGAGGGAAGTAAAGTAGGGCCCATGTACTGGAAGAGCCATAATCTAGTCCAAACGCTTCCGGAAGCGTATCAGGATCCATTCCTTTCAAGCTCTCGTAGCTCGCATTCATAGCCAGAGACAACCGTGTTTCAACTAAATTAGCCTCTTTCGAGTCTTTAGTGCGTGTTTTCTTACAGTGTTTTGTCTGCCGTTGTTCGCATTTTGCATTTTGCCGGCTACACAGCGCACACGGATATACAGACGTGTCACTGGCCGAGCAACTACGTTTGAGCTGATAGCACCGTGTACAAGACCGCCCATATGCAAAATCAGTTCGCTTGTTGGCGACCCGATTAGGGGCAGACACGCATGGCAGGTCTTTTCCGATGCATCGAGTGCACCTAGTTTCACCTTCTGGGATGTCACACTTGCGCTTCATTCCCCGACAGGGAATACACGCCTTTAGGGGACGCCGCTTGGCACTACCGTTCATTGTGAGAGATACTGGGCGCTTTACTTCCGTACCCACCATAAATTCCACAAATATATAAATTGTTAGCGCGTGCAATCGTTTATTCAATACCAACACAATGAATTACTAGGGCGTACACATGAAGTGCAAGTGCTTTTAGCCTCTTGGTACACACATCATGAATTCCATACATACAAAAAATAACACGGTTCGGGATTCGACAGGGCAGAAAAAGGAAATATATTCCGTTCACCCCGGGTCTTTCTGGCCCTCACAGCCGACAGGAGTCTGGACTTTCATACAGTCACACTGGTATTTAGCCTGTGGTGTGGGACTTTGGCCCCAGTTTGAAGTTTGGACTCTCCGGACTCCGAGTCTCCGAGTCTCTCCCAGACTCCCACCCTCTCTCAACAGTCTCACTGTATAGTATATTTATTTTTTAACTGTATAGTTTCGCTAAATACGTATTCAGTATGGTCAATGACGCATTGGTGCCTGATTTGTTTTTTAGAAACGAACTTCAGTATATTGAACTTTATTAAAAATGTAAATATGCACCATCTATTTTTGTATTTATTATTAGTGTATTAAAACAGACGACTCTAGACTTAGAGTAGTATTATTTTTTCATAAAATAGAGAAGGAGAGAGTCTTGGTGAGTCTTGGTCACCCTTGATCCTGAAGTCCTGGACCCTGGTCACTGGACTCTGGCTGGTGGAGTATGGTGAGCTATAACAGAGCTGTCTGATTTTTTTTCTGATTTTCCCTCCTCCGACGGCCGGGGACCTTTTTCTATCCATATTTATTTTTATAAACGCACGAAACAACTAAAAGTCAATAAAAGTTCTGCTTTTATCCAAAAGAGATTGAAGAGAAGAGCGTCTCAACTCTCAAGTGGACCACAACTCCACGCACAAGTTTCAACACAAGTCTCAGAGAGACGAAAAGTAGAGACGACTAGCCTAAAATCATTGTTTCTAAAAACAATAGAGTTGTAGACGGTAGTATAGACTGTAGCCCGTATTTAGTGTAGCCTGTATTTAGTGTAGAGTACTAGTGTAGACTGTAGACTGTTGAGTGTATTTTTAGAAGTAGAATACTGTTAATTTATAAATAGAGAGTTGAACCTCTGTAGACTCTCGCGGTCTCGCCCCTGCTCACTGGACTCTGATCACTGATGTCAGTGATGACAGGGTCATGAATTTTTTTAGTATAAATTATATCGCGCCTCTGTGCTATAAATATTTTCAATGATTCAATCACATCTACTCTTTCAACAAACAAGTCTAAACCCTTTGGTGTAATTTTATCTACAAAATCAGCCAGAAAAGATCATTGTCGTTTTGTGTATTTATTTAGTTACAAAATCTTATGGGCGAAGGTCCTAAAATGACCTAAATACAGATTATTTACAATAAACGATTTTACATGGATTTTGTTTTTTTTGTTTTTTAAATTTTAAAGTAAAAATGGTTCTTATCCCTTCGTCTGTTCTCCTCGTGACAAAACAAGGTTTTTCAGCAAACCTGGCCTGATAAACGACACACGGGTGGTCGTTTATTAAGGAGTATTTACGTCGGGTTTAAAACGGTAAGATAAAATATAATAAACGACAGGTCGTTTATCCAATAGTAAGTTTTTGGTGGTTTGTGGTATAATTAACCTTAATAATCCTTAGTAATGTGTATAACAGTATAAGCCAATAAAACCGTTTCAATCTGGGTACAGGAACAAAATAATAATGGTTTCGGTATGAAGTTCAATTTAAAAGATCAACTAAAACTTTATTCTTGATTGATTCTATTTAGTAATTACTTATTATTACAAGTTTACTATATTTTGAGGGCAGAATAAGTTGTTAATAGTATACGGATGTTCACAGGGGCTCTGTTTTGCGTCAGTAGATTCTATGTTCTCGTAGTTCTGGCCGACAGTATCTGTCGCAGCGGATCAGGCCAGGTGCAGCCGTTCTTAGGTTTGGTTGGTTTCCATTGGTCTATACTGAGAAAACTTGGTAAAAAAAAACTACCATTAACGACTACTCATTTACGACCTACGGCTAAAATCTCTTGGGTTTTATTTTATTTTAAACCCATTTGGTAAAAACGACCGTATCGTTTATCTGGCCGGCAGCAAACAACCCTACAAAAATTGTGGAATGTACTACAAATGTTGTTTACCAAATCGAAATTCCGGCATATATATCAATTTGATGCTGTCAAATAAATAGCATCCAATGATATTACCTTTTTAGTACTGTTTACTGTGTGAGAATGTGATAATGGAGTCCGCTGATTGGCACTAGTATTTAGGTGTTTCGGTGGCTTTGTATTTTCTGTTTACCTCTACAGTCTACACTTATTATTTTGTCCCAAATAAAAGTTCTAACTTTTAAAGGTTTAACGTTTATACAGTGACCCCATAAATTTATGAGAGAGTATTTAGAGAGCGAGCTCTTATTAGTTTTAGGGGGCTACTGTACATATCATTTTATTTTGAGGTTTAACGTTTATACAGTGACCCCATAAATTTATGAGAGAGTATTTAGAGAGCGAGCTCTTATTTGTTTTAGGGGGCTACTGTACATATCATTTTTCATATATGACTAGGTGGCGCATACATGTCATATAATGATCCCATTATGTCCTTAAAGTGTGGGCGCCAGACATAGGGTCAACAGTGACATTAAATTGCTCATATGTTCATCATGCAAGTGCAATTTTTAAAATGTCGTAGGACCCCACCAGCACCAACGGGCAACGGCGCTAAGCGTTATATGTTGCTTTATTTTTTATAAAAAATTACATTTACGTTGCAGTACTTGTGTATTATTTTAAATAACGAGCTGAATTCTACGCACATATGTATAGATATTTTTTGTATAAATATTTAGGCTGTCATAGCTTTCTTTTAAATTGAACAGCTATTTATGTATTTTTGTATTTTTGTTTGTTTTGATTTTCTTAAAACCAACCCGAGCGCGTTTAAAAAACGCTTACGATTTAGCTTTTATTTTATATTTTAGTTTTCGTTTAAAATAAAATCAACAAAATTCTACTCTTGTCAAATTGTCATACTCTTGCGTATTGACATTATGTACTCACTTGTCATTTGTCACTCTTGTCAGTTTTCACTATGGCGTATGTCATCAAATAGTTTTATTTGATTTTTGTTAAATATAAATATTTCAAAACCAGAGCCCCCTAAAGAGGCAAGTCAAAACCAAACAAAATATATGTTTTTTTCTTCTAAAACAAGAGCATCGAATTTACGTAAGCATCATTGCTTCCTATTTTTGTTTTTTATAATGTAGAACACAATGATTGCACAAAGTTATACAGAAGTTTCAAAAAAGTAAAACTTGATTTTGTAGCTGAACACTTCACGGCGGACAAAAATATTCCAGCGAAATTGGCTTCTTGTAACCATTGCGGTAATGGTAAGCTTTACGCATGGAATAGAAAGAAAGCAAGCAACGCTTTGATCCACTATGAGGGCACGCATGGGGAAGGAGTGGTGTGACAACTTGAGCAAATATGTTGCAAAGATAATAGAAAAGCGAAACAAGACTTCGGGGCGTCAACAGAGCCTTACGGCATTCGGGTCTACCCCGAATCGACTGCCACAAGTCCCAATACAATACGTCTAAGAACTTGCCGACCTACATTGGACTCGTTGTCTGGCTTCCATACGATCCTGCTTCCTGCAGTCGCAGTACCAACCACTGCACACTCCAGTTACAACGCTGGTGCTTCGGAAACCCTTAGAAAGTATCTAACAATAATAGAGAAATCTATTAGAGATGTAGTATTGAACAAATGGAGAGACGCTCTACGATATTACAAACTCCCTTTTGCTAGTCGAGAGAATGATTTATGGAAAGATGCTACCGGCACTAATTACCTCGGTAGCATCTTACATTGGTATGAACCTGACCCTGTTGGATCACAACCTATCAAAATATCGTTAGGATTGAAAGAGGTGATAGGTTCTCGTTCAGCCATAAACCTTGCAGAATGGCAGGTACAAGTTCTTAGAGAATAAGGGATTCTAAGAACAATGCCTGACACTCATTTTATAATTGGTGTCTTAGGTGAGAATGATTCTGTATGGCTGCGCTGAATCCTAAACAGGTGATTCATAGTGCGACGCCTGATAATGCTGCGAATGTTCAAGCAGCAATGAAGCTCACAGCACATGTCACTATGGTTTGTCGTGCTTATAGGATTGCCCTCGTAATGAAGAAGGCATGTGGGGGGAGCCTTGATTACTGCGACGGATAAGATGCGTGTTGTATTTAATGATAAGTTCTTATAGGTGCAGAAAACGAGGAGGCGATGGAAAGTTTTGTGGCACCGCAATTCGACAGCATACCAATATCAAATATGATGTTGAAGGGGCCGATAAACTCGTGCAAGATCAGAAGATGTTATTATACGACAATCTAGCTAGAGCTATAGCAAATGGCGGTGTCCGGTGGTCTAGTGTGTATGAAATGATCGGGCGTGATGACTATCTTTGTACAGCAATCATGAAGCTAATCGAAGATCCGAAATAAGATGATAAACATACTGGATTATGGGGTGATGCAGACGACAGGAGTATGCATATATGCGCAATGTATGTATGTATAAATGTATATGTATATATAAACGTATATAT